GCTGTATTTGGACGGCATAAACCACTACGAAACCAACCACGGAGTGATAATACAGTCAATATTATACAGCTAAGCATTAAAAACAAAAACGCAAAATTTACGCTAAGCGAAACACGGGGACAATCGCGGAATGAAAAAAAAAAAGGGAAAAAATATCAAATCCAGCTGCCACTACAAGCACCTTTCCCTTCACCATTCTTTCAGCCAAACTGAGCGGAAGCAAACACACACCACAATGCCGATGAAATGATTTGCATTTCATTAATACCTAATCAAACAGCTTTATCGATGAAAAAATTAAGAAACCTTTTCAGTATAATATAAACGACGTGAAATATGCACAAGCGTTGTGGCAACGTCCGCCTGAATTGCAAGAGTAACGCGCCAAAACTGCCCCTCATTCCTAAATAGCTGTGAAGAACTGCGATTTACAGCAACAACTGCAGCATGACGAGACAGATCATGTCCATAGGAGAGACGGAAGTCGCACACCGTACCTGGAACACAGAGTTACCTTGCACTTGGCACACATCACCCATCACATTGATAATTGTGCATTATCTTAACAAAAACTCATTATCCTAGCCATTCAGCAGTATTTATCAGCTAATCACGATGCTCCTGATAGTCAACCGCTTAACTCTTCGAATCAGCAATGCTGGTCATCCTCATTCTTATGACATTTCAAAAGCTCGTGGTCGGCATCCCACCCCATCGAACTGAAATGAATAAGTGAGGTCCACATTTATTCCTTACCTCTGACCACGACGAACGTTCAGCTAGGATTTAGATAGTTGGCCAAATTCCAATCAATTTTGAAATAAAACACGGGCAAATTGGCGCAAAATCTACAATACGATAGATGAATACAAACCGGCTAGGATGATGAGGTCCGCTTCTTTGAGATTTTCCTTTCTGCAGTAGTGCATCTGAATAGTACAATCGACACCAAGCAAACCACGCGACATGCCTCCTAAATATACTGGAATTCCAATATGCTGCAAAATTAATAATGATTGCAACGATCGCCAGACATAATTGTCCCTAAAAAAAGGTTCAAACAGATAGGCTTCTTAACTGAAATGACGGCCAGATAAAAACTGTTCTGTTGCAAATCCTCAAATAAAAATAAATGGGACAGCAAATGCTTCATTTAACCAAAATGCATGGAAGGCGAAAATGACACAAAATGCCAGTGGCCATGCTGGAGATAGACCATATTTATTTAGAAGAGCACAGTAATGTCTATTTTGGCCAGGAAGCGAACACAGAGTTGAACAACCGGGCTGACAGTAAACATAGAGGAGCTACCAGTTGGCGCAATCTCACAGCACTGCTGATGTCCTCAGAATATCGGACGCTAAGGGTGCGCAAACATTTTAGAACAGCTGCACTAAACGCAATAACGTACGGATGCGAGACGTCGTCGCCAACAAAAACAGATGAGCTAACAATGGCTGTAACGAACAAAAAAGTGGCGCGAAGGATGTTTGGCGTTTCTCTCTGCGACCATATACGCGATCGAGCTTTCTGTCAGATGAACGGCGTGTAGAATTTTATTCAGATCACACAAAAAAGTAAATTCGCTGCAAAGCAATGCCGTTCGTCCTTCTAACAACCAGCGATCGTATCGCACTAGTAGTCGGTGCCTGTGAGAACATAAAGGGCCACTTGGGGGGAGAAGGGAGGAGTGGGGTCTTGAAAAGGTGGCGCACATACATCGAACAATCCGATGGGTACTAACTGGAACTGTGCAGCGCATCCTGTTATGAAGCCGATTACATTCCTCAAAAACAAGCAAAGACTAATTATAGATATGCCCGGCGTCCTAGAAACAGCTGCTTCCATTCAGTTCGACTGCCATCTCGTGACGGCCACAATCAGAATCGGCTTCGATGATGAAGAAAAAATTCGTGAAACGAGAATGTCATTTAGAAACGTCAACTCAGGAACCAGGCTGGTCAAACTGCTCCAGCTTTACGAAAATATCTGCTGTCCATAAGCGGGCATATAGGCATAAAACCAGCTTTGGCATATGCCTATACTGCGAGTTCGCATACTTCAAAGATATTCGTAACGAAAAGCGATTTCGCCAATCAAGCTAGACAGCCAACACTTTGTAAGGATATTCTACAGCAAAGTGCGATCTAAATATTTCAAATTCAGCTTTAAAGCATGCTTAGTTCTTGTGCAAGCTTGCGACTGCGTGTTTAGTTTGGGACATTATTAGCACCCGGTTAACTCGGTGACCAGACTGAGCAAGAAGCAGTATTTTTCGGAGAATGTTTGCTATTAACATATATATGTATATATACATATACGTACATATATGCATGTGTATACATGTACATATACACAAATATACATATGTATGTATATGCATATATATGTATATATGTATATATATATGCACATGTATATATGTATATACATGCATATATACATATATGTATATGTATATATATATATATGTATATATTGATAAGTACCTCGCAGCTTACATCGCTGGTGCTCATTTCCATAAGTTTGACACCCTTAAGTGATATGTAACTGCCTTGCTACTGGCAGTGAAAGCGATTCCAAACAGTGTAGAGATGCAGCTGAAGGCACAATCGGTGATGCCATCTGTGGAGCGCATTTTACTTTCTAGAAACTGCTAGAAATACTGACCTTTACAGCTGATACCAAGTCGTACAAGTCAGTAGGCGGTAGAACAGCCTGACTGCCCATAATCATTACTGGTTTCTTTGCTTTAAGCAAAAGATCTGTCGCTTTCTGAATATCAGAATCATTTGGAAGCGGCACTGTAACAATTCGAGGTGTCAGCTCCTGAGCAAACCAATTGCCACCAAACTGCCGACAAATGTGCGCCATCAAATACAAGTTTCTCGCTTTCTGAAAGTTATCCTTTGGTATAGTTTATTCCGAAAAAATCCTGAGAATTGCCCAACTCCAATATCGCTGGCGCGCAGTGGGCCTGCATGTGACAGCACGACGGCGGGTAACACTATTATTTGGAATGTGAAAGCAAAAACAAATTCAACTTAAAAATACATCGCCAAAAGCTACCGGATATTTGCTGCGGGGTTAACCCTAATATTACTAACAAACAGCCACACGGCAAGAGCTGCAAACTCGGAAGTTCGTTTCTTAAATTTCCAGTTTTCGGTTCATTCATGACCAGCGTTTCACCAAGTAGCGCACCAATAACGCCACTCACTGATATGCAATGTGCATCGGCTGCCGCTAGCAAAGCAAGCTACATTCCTTGACCGGTGATAATTTTTACTGTCACAGCAGTAACCCGCATTTCCCGCTCAACAACGCACGTACAGTAAATGAAGAAATACGCAGGAGAACTCCATCCAGCCACCTTTTTCTGCCCTCGTCAACAGGCTTAACACTATTTTTTCTTCACGTGCTCACGCTAGTTTCAGGCTGAAATGGTCATGTCTGCTGCACAGTTTTACAGCCCAGGTACATCTGACTGCGAATTCAGTCGTGTCGACACACCTTCACTTTTGCTCCGTCGAAATGAAGCTCCTCTATCAACTCACGCATGCACAATGCGTTATTAACTGCAGGCAAAGTGCAGTCTTGCAAGCCGCCGATATACTGAATACTCTCCTCGAACTGGTGGTAAGAGCAGAGGTAGTTAAAACTATCATCAGTCGCCTTCCGGATCTCAAAAGTTCGCACTGTAAGCGGTTCTGTCTAGTCTTTTAATCAAATAAGGGATGCGGGCCCTGGCTGATAATGCATCATACTGCAAAAGAAAAAAAAAAAATGCTCTCATTCTGTGATAAAAGAGAATGGAAGTTTGAAGGATTGGTAGGTTGCCTACATGTGCTAGA